CATGGAAGGGACCCATGCTGGAGCAGATTGTGAAGAACTGCAGCCCATGGGAAGGGGAAGTTTGTGGAGGATTATCTCCCATAGAAGAGACACCACACAGGAGCAGGAGAAGAATCCGACTCCTACTCCTGAGGAGTGAGGAGCAGCAGAGAAAACATTTGATGAACAGACTAAACCCACCATTCCCTATCCCCCCTACACTACTGGAGGAGAGGAAGGGGAAGAAAATGGGGAGTGAAGTTGAGCCTGGGAAGAAAGGAGGGGTGGTGGGAAGGTGTTTTTTAGATTTGGGTTTATTTTCTCATTACCCTAATCTGATTTTATTGAGAACAAATTAAATTAACTCCCCCATGTTGAATCTGTTTTTCTCACTACTCTAATTGCTGAGAGATCGTTCCCTGCCCTTATCTCAACCCACAAGCCTTAAGTTATATTTCCTCTCCCTTGTCCAGCTGAAGCAGTTGAGCAGCTTTGCTGGGCACCGAGTGTCCAGTCAGGGTTAACCACCACAAAGATACAGCTTTTTCATGAGGTACATTTGAATGAAGAGAAACAAAATAGTCTAAAAAGATATACACAAAATCAAAGGATTCTGGCAGACACAGAAAAGTATTCTAAAGGGAAACTGAGGTTTATAAAGCTTAAAAAAATAATATAACCATTTCATCTATACTCTAAAGTCCAAAGTTATTATTTGGGTTATGACACTAATAAGGTTCTCTGCTTACAGATTTATTGTGAAGCTGACAGCAGATAAAAATTTATCTGCTGTAACCAACAGGTCAATGTTTATAATGCTGCTGTTCAATTTCTGCCTAGTAGTCTAGTTTTACTCAGCACATTCACTATCACCACTGCTTTTTTCTTAATTAAGAAGTTAATATTGCTTGAGGAATCTTCCTTCCTCTTTTCCTCTTTCCACTGTACTGATTAATTGGAAATCCCTTAATAGACTTACATATGGACTGTTTTGCAAAAGGTCCTTCAGAATAAGAAAATCACTTGTTGGGAAGAGGGGGACAGGTTTTAGAGGTTTTTAATTTATTCTTAAACAGTAAAAGGAACAGCTCAATTAATTCTAAACATAGCGTATTGGCAAATTATTCCTACAAGAATAGACCATTTCATTATATTATTGAGGAACAGACATGGTGACCAACATGCCTATCATTAACTTTGCCAGAAGGAACTATACACACATCATTCAGTTCTTCTGCTGTACAATTCCTTCAGAAATATTTACATTTCTATGCAGTTCCTCCAAATGAAATTCTGAAATGTCTTTCAAAACAAACAGCAGAAAATATTTTAAACTTTTCCTGACTGTGAAATTAATTTCTAACACAAAAAAATGCAACATTTCATTCTATAAACACACAGACAATAATTCAACAGAGAACTGAAATGGCTACTCCGGATCTTGGGCAGAAATTCACTAAAAGTCATCTAAGTTTGTGGGGGATTCTCCCCCACCCTTTTCTTGTTCATTCACCAGGCACACACACAGAAGATGACTTTAAGTACTCAAAATATTTAGAGCTGTGCTCCTGCACAAGTCCAAAGCTGTCCTGTTATAAGCAGCATTGTGCCTACTTTATGCTAAATCAACTTGCTGATTCTAGGGGACTACCAATTCAGCAGGGAGGGACAACAAAATGGTGCTAGGCAAGAGTCTTAATTTCCTACAGTCAATATAATGAAGTTTGCTAATTACCTCTCATATGTCCTGTGAACAGCTGGTATGTTCTTTCCATTATTGCACAGAGAATCTCCACTTTAGCATCTGCTTGTTGGATTTGGGGTGGGAGTGTTTTGGAACTAAAACATTTAGGTATTTAGATGGACAGTCTGTATCATGGGGTCACTGAAAGCAAGTGTCCACTTTCTTGAGAAAGTTCCAGGATCTGGTTCCAAAATGAGCAAATGAATGAGCAAATAGAATTGATACAGTTAATACCCAGGAAAGGATTAGGCTTTCAGATACAACTCATAACCTCATTACTTCCTTCCGAGTGGCTGTAGCCAACTTCTTAGCAAATGTGCTTGCTAGATTCTGTAAATCCTTTCTGGAATATTTTTACCTCCATTTGTATCAGTGCTAATTAAAATGCACAAATCAATTTATACTACCATTCTATTCTTTTTACTGTGTCCAATATCACAAGAAAAAGGATCAGGAGAAAAATAAAATCTATGCCTGAGAAATTAAAACAGTTTCACCTTTCTGACACAATACACAATGTATACTAATAAATCTACTGCTAAAATGGATCTTTTAATAAAATAAATGCCACAGATTTCTTCATTCTGCTACAAAAAAATATAATATATTCAGTTATTTATCAACTGAAGAGGATGTTATGTTGTTATTAAAAATACCCAAATGTTTTAGTAGCCTGGAAATACACACCATGCATATAGCTCCATGTTTTTACACACTGCAGGGATAAGAAAGAGTCTGCATTTCCTTCTCTGCTACTAGAGGATCACACGAATGAACAAGTATTATGAAGAGTTTGGATTTGGTTTTAAATCAGTCTTCCAAAGTTTCAGTATTTGTGGCATTTCTTCAAATGTCAAATATCTTCTAACTGCACTCTAAAAGGACTAAATTACAGCTGTTTGTATAAAATCCAAAGATCCAAACTAAAAATAAAACAAACAAAAAAAACCCCAAACCACCTTTTAAAATCAGAAATAGTATGCCACTGGGCAAATTAATATCGACCAAGTACTTTTGTGCTATTTTACAATTCACTAAAATGATTTATTAAGGTTGCTTAAATAGTCTCTCTTGCATTGCAAAGTTTTTCAATTCTGATAATAGGGGGAAACAAAACTGACTTTATACAATATATATCTGGTTTATTTATTGTTCAGTCAATACTAGGCATTAGGTTCAAGCACTTGCATACGGCAGTTACAGACTAAAAGAAACTATTTACAAGACTAAAAGAAAGTATTACAATTGTTTTTTAACTCATTCCTAGAAGAATTTAAAATGAGTATGAGAGAAATTCCAGGCACATTATCACCTAGATTTTATTTACTCATATAGAACATGAGATTTCAGATGTTAAGAGTTTGTATTTTGTTGTTACTACATGTAATATAGAAGCAAGAAGAGTTTCTCAAAATAATTATTATTGTTCTGGAATCAATACTAGGTTACTATTTACTATTTAAAAATAAAAAACAATTTCATAAACGATGATAAACATAGAAGCTGATCTATTAAAACATTATACATTTTTACTAAAATTGAAAATTGCAGGATGAAAAGGAAAATATGTAGACATCAGAGTGTTAGGATTCCCAAAGGCATTATTAAGACCTGTACACAGCCACACACATTGCAAATCTGCAGATGTATGAAAGTTTTCTGCCTGCTCAGAGCAGTTTAGATAAGTTATTGAATTTATAGACATATGCTATTGATTTCTTAGCAGTCTAATTAGAAGGTTCTACTAATTATTACTGGAACCACCTTAGATATCCAACAAAACTTAAAAATTAACCACCAGTTTAAGAAGCACTGGAGTATACTGAGGGGAATACCACAAGTCTGCCCTGATTTTATATTCTTTCATAGACATGGGCTTATGTCTCATAATAGACAACTAGATAGACACTGCAGATGGGTTTTCCAAACAACCCAGGCCAGTTGTACTCACTGGAACTGTTCTTTGCATCAAATGAGAGAAGAATTCAAAAGTGAACAATGTGTGACAGACGCTGCTTACCTGTGGGTGCTGTAGCTTCACATAAGCAGAAGCTCGTTTCACACACACAGTTACTGGGTTGAGAGCTTTGTCCCCAACTCCTAATACATACCAGAACATAAAAAGAAAAGTTTGCTGCCAACACAGCTCCAAAGCACTCCTCCAGTGCTTTATTAATTGAACAAAACTATACAAACACGTAATGTGAGGGAAAAATACAAAGTAGCAAAAAGAGATTGGATGACATATTTTGCCATTATACTTCTTATCAGGAAGTTACTTTGGCAAGGTAGGTGCGTGTCCAGCAAGTAACCAGTGATCAGAGCTCAATTTCCTAGTGGTTTGCCTTGAATAGCAGGATGTTTGATAGCCTGCACTAAGCTAAAAGATAAAACAAATATAAATTACTAGCTAAGAGGCACACAAGTCACTGAATAGGTGGTTTGTATCACTGACATTAAGAGATTAGCTACATTTCAGCTGGCCCATTTGCCTTCCAGATAAGGTAAAAAAACCCAACAACCTCCAGAGACGGTATGTGGAAATTTCTACATTTCCTTCCATGGGGTAACAGACACATTTCAAAGACTTTTTAAATGAAAAACTGAAGTTTACTTTTCTTTCTACATTCTTAGCATATTTGACTATGTTATATTTGTAGCTGGGAAAGGTCCACTTTCAGTAAGAAAATGAAAACAAATACAGTTATTTAAGTATTAATAAATATTTCTAGACTAACTCTGAATAATGCAACCTTGTACAATGGACATCAAAATACAAACTAATAATTCCAGCTCTAACACGGTAGCAGTCTAAGCTATCATTAAATTTCAAGGTCTTCAACTCTAGTGAATCAAGTTTTGATCAAAAGCTATGATAGATCATATCTTTACAACAGTCTTCCTTACTTAAGTAGATTAGTTCCTTTTCTTGAGTTGCCTTAACTGGAGGTAAGGTTTTATAAACAACACAAATGGACATCGCTTTTTCTGTGACCTTTGTTATACTGACCCATCGAAAGGAACTAATCTGTGCTATTCTGAAAACATACAAAGAAACAAATTATCCATGATAAAGCAAAGTTTTAGTTCTAAACAACAGATGGGATTAGGAGGATTATAGAAAATGTTACTCCTTAATATGAGTCATTTTAAAAGGGTGAACTCATCAGCCACTGAAGTAGTTTCCATTCAACCTGTGAAATATATAAAGTGGGCACAAATGGAGAATGTGTTAATTTACAACTGGAAAAGCTTTCTTAACATTTGAGAACTGCTGAACTTCTATGGAAGCATTAAATAACTAAGAATGTGTATCTCATCATACATATTAATTCTCTCCCTCTCTCTTTTTTCTCAAGGTTTTCTACTCTCAGTTTCAAAATCTCTGCAAGAGGTGGAAGATGAAGACATGTTGCTAACCACACTAAATCTAGGAAAAACTCTCCGAAATGGAGACACGGCTCTGAACAGAGGAGCTATACCTTTGCTGAAGCATTACATGACTGAAGACAGCATTGTTTTCAATGAAAAGAATGATGGAAACATGAAGTTTTTGGTGAGTTCAGTTTTACGTTTCGACTTAATTATAAAAAGGAAATTTATTTATACCCCTTTAGAAAACAAGTACAATAATTTAAAGCAACAACCTGGTAAATATACAAAAATACCAGTTTAACATATCATAGTCAAGAAAAAATTTTCAGTTGTAAGTATCTAGTGCCAGGATTTTGAATGTGTAACTTGGACAGTTGAATTAAATCTGATTTTTACAGAACTATATGTAGCCAAAGCTTGTGGGGGGGAAAAAGCCTATATTTATGTTTGATTCAGCATGTCCCTATATGCAGCAACAGGTTTTTAACTTCGCCAAACATGAGGCTCATTATTTCATTATGTTCTTTCCCATTAAACCTTTTCGGCCAAAGATGTAATGCAGGTCATTACTTTTAACCTATGATCTTGAAACATAAAATAGTTGCACTATGAAGTATAAAGTATAAAATGTGAACACAACTGACTGTAAATAAAGATAAACCACTACTCTTGTTTTCCCTCAAAACAGGACACGGGTTCCAGACGTGATTTCTTAAATCATGTCAGGCCAATCAACTTAGGTAGAAAACAACTACTGAAGGGAGCCATGGCTTTTCCAGCTGACACTGAAATTCAAAATATTGAATCAATACAGGAAAGAGAAACCACAGATGAAGAAAATTCAGCTAAATTCCCTATAGGAAGAAGAGATTTTGACAGTAAATAAATTTTATTTTTATGTAAAAAATCATTTTATTCTGGTAAAGTATAGTGCAATGTCAATATAGCAATTTGATAAAATTTCATGTAGAAACTCCATGCCTGTTGTGAGTCAGTGCACAGGGGAGGGAGCATTTTTTAAATTAATGTTTTCAGAGGCCATAAGAATTCTAGTTCTTTGCAGATTTAAACCTTCAGATTTATTTTTTTCCTCCCTTAGTCCTCAGGTGTATGCTGGGAAGAGTCTATCGACCTTGTTGGCAAGCATGAAAACTATTGATCTGCACCACCATCTTTGAAGAGTAAACATTTTATTTTGAATTTAATGCAATTTGAAGTTACTGTGTTTTAGTGTGGCTATACATACGCATCCAAAAACAGTTTCCCATCACATTGTAGAGGGATACATAAATCATTACCAAAAAGCACGTACTGCAATTACTAACAATGTATTGTTATTATAAAATAAAAGACTTCAGCATAATCCAGACTTGTAATAAGTTGTCTAATATTATACATAAGCTACTTTCAATTATTTGAGTATGAAAGGAAGCAATTCATGAATTTCACCCTTTTTCTCACAAAATTTTACAACTGTCAACATACTATGTATGTCAAAACAAAAACCTATAGTCGAAAAAATTGAGTTAATTTTGCCTGACCAGCAATCAATTTATTCTTACTTGAAGTTTTGGTCTGTTTTCTTTTACCCCCAATTTTGCTGTCCAATTCCTTCTGAGAGTTGTTTGAAGTCTTAAGTCTTTTAGCATTTTTTTGCAAAGATGGTTCACTTTCCTTGTCACAGATTACTTTGTCATTATTCACATCCATCTGTTCATTCTTGGAGTTCTTGTTCCTTGGCTGACAACTCAGCTTTCCCATTTCTGTACAACTTCTAGTCTGGTGAAGACTTTCAGAAATAGTTCCAAGCACTGGTACATCAAGACATGAATTTGTACCTTCTGTCATGTAAGAATATAAAAAACATGTGAAGAAATAAAAAGTTACCTGGGAATATACATCCCTTTTATACCAAGACTGTCACGTTATTTTTTTAATCAAAACTAATGTTCCATCAATTAAACAAAGCTATGCTGGCCATTGCAATTACATTTGCTATATTGTCACAAAATGGCATTGCTCTAAAACATATAATAGCAACTAACTTAAGGAAGTGGATTTATAACTTTAAGATATTGGAAAAGAGTCTTAAAGGGTGTAGAAATTTTATATATGATATAATTTGTAGTGGATTAAAACATTTCTCACCCCTTTTAATGGCAAAAGTACAAATTTCACTTAGCTGACTTTTGTAAAATAAGAATAAATGTTATGTAACATATGTACACATATAGTTTTTTTACCTCAATATAACATCAACACGTAATTTTCAAACATTCATATTTTCAAAGCATTAGCATCACAATTTTAATTCAGAGATTTAACTGATTATAGCATGCACAGAACAATGAGACTTTTTTTTTTCTTGAAAACATAGTTATACTTGAGTTCTAATAAAGGCTTTTTGGATAACATTTCAAATATTAGCTATCACATTTTCTTATTCAATCCTACCATAGCTTACCTGTCCCATATCCAGCTTTCAAGTGTTGCTTTGGTGCAGGATGTTTGCAGGTTGGAATTTCAAGAGAATGCTGATGACCCATTTCACTCAAATCATTTTTATATGTACATGCAAACTGGGATTTAATTGAAGATTGCTTCATCTGCAAATAGCAATCTGCTATTAGCTTTAAGTATTTACAAAAGTAAAAAACAACACCTGTAAGATTAGTAAAACAAGCTTCCCCATTCTTTTCACATAAAATACTACAAAAAAGAGTATGCTCACATTAAAAAAAAAATTAAGTGTTCATTTACAAAGTTAAGGGCTTTCAAGCATACTCATATTATGCTATTAAAAGTCCTAGAATAATTTAAAAAAATCTTTTTTTCAGCTTTTTCAGAAAGTTACACATTAACTGTTACAGCTTCAACTTAAGGCTTTCTGCCTTAAGTTAGCCCCTTCTTTTGACAGGTTGCAGACACTACTGCTTTGAGTGTCATAGCTACTCCAGTCAATTTTTACACTCGTATAGGTCATCATCTTTGAGATGTCAGTTCACAAGTGCCAAATACAGGATGAGTCTCTCCACTTAACCAATCTGTACATAGAGGAAAGCAACACAGAAAAGGGATGATAGATAATATAAACTAAGCTTCACTCTACTTATACCTAGAAGTGGAATATAAAGTATTATTTCAGATTCCCATTTACTCACAAAATAAAGCCATTTCAACACTGAATGACAATGTCTAACTCCACGTTTGCCAGAACATACCCATAATAGCTTAAGTTGCCAGAAATCTACAGTATTGAAGAACCCTTCTGTACTTGATTCTGCACGCTCATTTCCACCTCCTAGTCTCAGAAGCAGGGAACCTAGTCTCACAGCACAAATAAATCAAAATATGTGGTTCAAATACAAAAAATTAAATAAATTTTTTCAGTATATCCATATATAATGGAATTAGTGGTTGCAGGTCGAATTTTCTCAGTTTACACTTAAGTCACAGCTTCATATCAGCTTAGAATTTCAGGTCAAGTGTGGTAATTTCTATACAACTGATCATAAATGCTACAGATTCTGAAAGACAAAATCTGCCCTCACTTCAATTTGGAAGTGTACTAGATTATACAAATTATGTTGAAACATATAGCACAGAGTAGATAATTACAATAAATCTGGATTTTTAGCTAATAATTCTATTACAACAGTACAGGTGAATTCAAATAAATTTGAGCTGAACAGGTGCTACTGTTCAAACATCAAGAAAAAGAACAAGCAAGAAACACTGCTACAGAAGAAATGTTGCTATATAACTATATAGTAGGAGTAATTTGTTGAATAAGAGGTTTATAGCCACTTTTCTGATTAAAAAGATTGCATTATGCAAGTCTACTTTTCTTCTTAGGATAAGCATGATTAAAACTTACAGTTCGGATTTGACCCTTAGAGATATAATTTTCTTCCAACTCAAATTCTCGGATTTAGACAGAAGGAAAGAAAATAGTGATCCCTTTCCCCAAAATTCAGTCACAATTTATGCCACTTTCATCAGATACTGATCAAACTTTCTAACCGGTGTAGGAATGTATATTCAGTAATAAAAAGAACTGTATTACATTGGGTGAGGTAACAATAGGTAAATTTTAACAGCCTGAAGGCAGCATAAAGAGGCACAAGTCTAACATTGAATTAGGAAATAGAGTTTCATTGGAATGTTTTTAAGAAGAAAGATCAACCTAAAACTTGATTGAAGCACACATAATGAAGGCAGTCAACAGCTTGAAAAAGTTCTTAGAATAAAATAAAAAGCTTCAGAAAAAGCTCTTAGAGTTCTTTTATATTAAATTCCATGAAATCCACTGCTTTAAGAGCACCACCCCAATGACCCACAGCTCTGGGAGAGGAAAAATGTTGGGAGATCAGTTTGCTAATTGAGTAGTTGCACACAAATGGCATACAATGAACTCAAGACTTAGTATCCCCTCTCCTCTTCACAAGCAAGTGGCATGTTGCTGTTATCCCTATACCAAGAAAGAAATACTGCTGCATTTAAGAAAAAAAGGGTTCACTGTTATCACTGTTCAGCTGGAAGAAACTATAATAGAATTTAAGACAGTGTTTCAGCACAAGTAGGTCAATCAGGAGTCCTAATGACTAGATAAAGCAGGACATTCTCCCACCTTGATATCTGTATCTAAAGAAATTTTTCAGTTGTTTGAGATGCCCATATAAAACATTCATTTTTATATGGAATATTAATGGTGTATGCTCTATTTATTTCTGAAAGTTAGATTATAATCTATTCCAGATCTCCTTCCAGGATCTGCATACAGACAGTACTGCCAATATTTAATCACTAAGAATGTTGAGATTTGGGGTTTATACACTGGAATGGCATAATAGAATTTGAAAACCTGCATCAGTAACAACAAACACATGTTTTTATTTTCTAGCCAAACAACTGGAGTACTATTTGGATGAGAAAAAGAGATAAAAAAATTTATTTTCTCCACCCTTACTCTTGTCCTTTAAAAAAAAAAATATTCAAGGTAAGTTGAAAGAGAAAGCTGAAGAAGGCAAGAGGGTGCAAGGGAAAGAGTAACAAAACAATAAATGGTATCATTGCCAAACCAAGGCATCATGTTATTCAAACATAAAAAATATCCTGAATAGCCCAGGTTTTAATTGTACCAAAAGTATAATTTTATTTTTTTTAGCATGACATTGTACCAGCCTTTTGCTATCCCAAAATAACCTGCTACTATTTTGAGAACACAAATCTCAAATCACTTCATTATTGGCTTTTGAAAGTATTCAAAACTCACAGCTATGGATCCTAAATAAAGTAATTTAGGGGCCTTGTAGAAAAAAAAGTGGTGTTTTCTATATAAATGTGGTTTATCAACTGCCACCAAATCTTTCTTCAGATACTGTGCTAAACATAACCTTTTCCTTCTCTTCTATCCTCTAATAAACTACTAGTGACCTTAGTGTTCTCTGTTCTCCATAATTATAGTCTGCTTAGGAAATAAATATTCCTTGCTACAACAGATGAGACTACTACCTGGGAAAGATTGTCTTCTCTATTGCTATGAATTTTCTGTTCACAATTATAGCGGGCATAAAGAAAACTCTTGATAACTTCCTGTTGACAGTTTTCCAACTCATAGTTTATTTGTCCTGGAATTACAAACAGGCAAAACAATTCTCTCAAGTAACAGCACTTAGAGAACTAAGCAATGAAAAATAAGAGCAGAGCATGAAGCTAGATATTAAGTCATTTTATAGAGACATGAAAAAGTCACATGAGAAAGGCAGACAGAGATTTTTTGCTTTGTGGAGCTTTTTTGTTGGAAGGATTTCTATACACAGTAAAATTACAATGAACTTCAAGCATGCCAAGATTTGTTAGAGTTCTTAAGCCACAAATTCTTTT